AAAACCTAAATGGGGAAAGATAAAACATATCTTTGACAACAACACAAACGTCCTCCGGAACCACTCGGGTGAGTGGCAGCCTCACAGAACCTTCCGAGCGAACACCTGCCCACTACTCCGGACCTACCCTGGCGAAAGCAGAGAGTTCTAAGACTGTTTTCAGAAACATCTCAATGCGAGTTACACATTAGTTTTTGGGACGTTTCTGAAAAACGTCCTACATGCAGTTTATACACGCTCTTTCTGAAGGGTCGAAAACTGTGGGGAAACGTGCTGCTTTGAGTTTTGAGAGAGTTTTCAGTCAGTTTCTGTAACGGTAGGCATCGAGTTTTCAACCAGTTTCCATAGAGTTTCTGTCGGTGAGCATCGAGTTTCCAGAGAGTTTCCAGAGAGTTTCCAGAGAGTTTCTGTGACGGTAGGCCTCGAGCGTTTACAACGTTTCTCGTGCGTTTCGGAGTCCGGTGTGTGGATCTTGGGAGAATATATTTGCAAACAATAGCAATTTCTATTGCTTGCTTTGATATATTTTTTAATTTTAAAATGCCGATGTTAAAAAAAAATGAAAATAATCATTCGATTTTCGGATGTTTGCTCCGATTCTCGCATCGAGGCGGCTGCCCCTTTGCTATTTCGGATTCCTACGGTCATCCGAGTTGGTCACTCCCTTAAAGGCTATGATCATGGCTTGTTGGGCTGCTACATAGAAGGAGACACGCCTACCGCTGCCAGCGCCGCGAACAGAACCCGGCGCTGCCAACTCAGCGTCCTCGCCTCGTTCGCAACCAACTGAGCCATCCAGCCCGATGCGGGGGTGTGTCCGTACGGCGAAAGACATTCCAGCCTTTGTCTCGCCAGCCCGACACCGCCGGGCACGCCGCTTGCCCACCCCCTCCTCTTCCTCCGTCCCTCTCCCTCCGGGGAGGGCGGGTGCGGTAGAGGGGGAAGAGGTTATTATCGTGTTTCTAAAAACGCTGTAGAAACACGCTGCAATCGGTTTCCAGCGTGCTGTGGAAACCTTTTAAAAACTCGCACCGTGAATCGAAAGGTGTCCATGTCTGCAAAACTCGTTCAATAACTAATTGGACAATTCCAATATGTTACAAAGATTTCATGAGTTTTTAGCAGATGATACCTTACAACCTTACACCTAAATATATCTAAACATAACTATACATGAGTAATGTAAGGTGTCATTGCTTTAACTCTCGATTAAGAAATATTAAAGAGAACGTATAGCAAGTTGCGCTAGGCGGGGTCGTGAGGCGGCTGAGGCCGTCGCGTCGCGTCGAGCGCGCTATGCGCTAGCCGAGCCGGGCGGAACCGAGCTGAGCGGAGCCGAGCGGAGCCCGAGCCCCGGCCCCGACCCGTCGGCCACGCCAGTCTACGCTAGTCCTCCCCCTCCCTTGCACCGCTGGAGCCCCCGCGACGCCCCCCCCCCTTTCCCTACGAGTGTAAATACAGAAATATAATAGACTGGAATAGAATAATTCTTGACAAGGTATCATCTGCTTTCACGATCCGTTTCTGGTCGGAACTTTTTTTAGGATTCCTAAGGTCCTTACATTTGAGGGGGGGGGGGCACTTTTTGAAATTTTAAGTATTTTAAAATGTCACAGGACATCCATGGATTTGATGCAGTATGAACAAAAGTGTTCAGCTGTTCAACACCTGCAAGTGTGCAAATTCCTGTTACCCAGATCCAAGTGCTCAAATCGCTAGTTATACACTTGTATGTGTGCAACTTATCAGTTACACCCGTACATGTTTAACAGCCCTGTCTAACGCGCCCTTTGTTGAACACTTAAAAGTGTACAA